TTTCACAAGTTTGTACATCATATGGGTAATAAGTCATGTCTATATCACACGACGTTTCAAACATCTGAAATATTGATACACATGTTGTCAGTTGAAGTTGGCGGCACATACAATGCAAAATTTACTACGATTGTATCATTACAAAACTTATGTGGTAAATATAGTACATTCTCCCATATTTTAAATTTAGGTTTTTATCTAGATTAGAAAATATATATTCGTATTATTCCTTAACAATAGACATGTTAATAGACTTATTTGAAGTCATGCCGCATTAATACATGATTAATTACAATGTACATAATATATTGTACAATCTAGTTCATATCAGGTGATTTGAGAAAATAAGGTATTCTAGGGAGTGATAAAATATACGTACCTCAAGAGGGTACCACCTAATCAAACCTTCATCATAATTTTCTACCATAATAGTTTTATGTCCAAGACTTTCATATGATCTAACTGAATTGGCTAGAACTATATCTGGCTTCCAAATATCGTTCTGAAAAAAAAAATTGTAACAACAGTATTTCCTTTCAAACAAGTATATCAATATTTTAAAACATCAACATTTCATTTTGTTTTATGAAATACACAGTGAAAACTACTAAACATTAAACAGTTGTGAGATAGGAATCCTGATGCCATGTTCTGAAATATATATATATTTTTTAAGGTCTGCCTAAGTTTTTCATAATGACGGGATACAACTTAGGCAGACCAAAATATATATTTTAATGACAGAATAAACCTTAGACAGACCACAATATCTATTCATGACTAAATACACCTTAGGCAGACCAAGATATATATGTTAGGCAGACTACATTATATAATATCTTAATTATACAAGTTGCTGATTGGATATACAGGAGAATATAGCTGACTGAGATCAATATAGTCTGAGGTGTCAGCCGAGGGTTATATACATATATATATCTAAGGAAGGGTATGCCATTTATCCCAAAGGTAACTTGTATTACGAATATATAACAATGCAAATTCTTATTAACGACAATTAACATTCAAGAATGTTAAAAACGCTACTTAACACAATACTGAATTTCTAGTGTTCCCAGTTCGATGCCAAGGTGTGCGATGAGGCATTGGATTGGGTTGCGTTCATTGAACGCTGCCTTTCCTTGTTGATATTGTTTATAATATTTTATTGTTTGTACGCTTCAGTTCCTTTGCAGATCACAATAAATATTTTGACAAAGCTATTCGGCTAGCTTATAAAGCATCGGTGGTTCTTCCCAGGTTTGTGCTTGAAATAATGTAGAGGGGCACCTGAGGTCTACCAGTAAAACTAGAACTTCCTGTCTAGTCATGTAAATACAAAAATACAGATTAAAATCAAAATATCTATATTAACATCATGGGCATTTTAATTGAAAGTATTTTTAAAGAAATTTTAAACATTTAATGTAAGCTGAGGGTTTTCTGGTCCTTCGAAATCATTGATGCTAGCACTAGTGTTGAGAATTGAGTACCGCTCAAGGCAGTGCTAGGGGACGTGAAGGATGTTGCACTTATTCATTATCCCTCGTGTAAAGACTCAATCAAATATGATGAACAAGATCAACAAGGAAAGGCGGCGTTTAACGCACGCAACCCCCACACGATCCAGTAACAAGAGCCAGTGGCAAGGTGCCCAGGAGGACCCCAAACTAAAACAGGGCAGGGCAAAGCATGTGCAGGTTAATCACTAAAATCATACATTAGAAGAAATAATTAGTAAATGATAAGGATCTTAAAGAAAACAATTAAATGATTGAATAATAGGCCCAAAAAGTGTCACCAAAACAGTATGAAACAACAAAGACATACATCTGAGGAACACAGAGGGGCGCCGCCTAGGAACGGTCAGTAGCATAAATACTGCTGGGGCGTTTAAACCGGTTAATGGTGCACCAAACCTCACTCTTAGCCCCACCATGTTCCTATAAACGAGACAGTGTAAATTAAATGAATCCCCGCCAAGTGAAACTCTAACAGTTGTCATGATTACAAAAGGTAAAATAAGTAAAACATCGAAATGCTCATGTAAAAACATACAAAAGAAAACCCAATAACCATAACAAAAGTTCTCCATGTCTTAGAGGAAGACAGAGCAACAAGAAGATCACCTACAAGGGCCCGACAGAAGAAGACGAACATTAAGGCAATTCCGTCCCAAAGGGCTTTAAGAACTGTCCATCATAGAGTCTCCCACTTGGTCCGTCAGATGTAATCAAATGAGGAAAGCGTAGCGTCCAACTGTGAATGGGTTGAACACTAAGCATGCGGTATGTCTTAAAATAGTAGGGCCATAACCCCTTTTAATAAAACGTTTAATAATTGTTGTAAAGACAACAGAAAAATTACAATGACCCAATATCTTAAAAAGTCTGTAAACAACATCCCCGTAAAAATCAGGCTGGCTAATGTGCTTTTAGATCAATATTGAATTTTGAAATTAAATAAAAGTTACGATTGTAAAATTTTGTAAAATATTTAAGTAATTTATAATAGCGGTAGCCCTGTTTGAGTAGCTTACCGGTAATGAAAATATTTCGCTCGTTAAAATCCTTTACGTTGCTACAAGCTCTAGCGAATCTAATTAACTGAGATATATAAAACCCGTAAGATGTACGTCTCTATCCAAATGTTGATTATTTACTATACCAAAATCAAAGTCATCTTTTTTATTATAGATTTTCGTGTGAATAGAATTGTTTTTAATAGTGATATGACTATCCAAAAATGATGTAGTTAAATTTCAAGAACTCGTTTTATTAAGTTGTAGGTCAGTAGGATAAATATTAGACACCATTTGATCGAAATTAGAATTATCTAAATTAAAAATGGCATCTAGGTATATGGAAGTGTTATAAAATGCTAATATAACATCTTTTTCTGTATTTTCAGAGAGACCTTACATAAAATCTCTTTCTAGCAATATAAAAACAAATCGGCGACCATTGGTGCACAATTAGTACCCATAGGAATCCCTATGATTTGTTTGAATAGGGTATTATATACCAAACCTGACATAAATATTGTCTAAAAGAAAAGAGAGCCGTCACATGTCCACATAGTATACTGTTTTACAATACAGTTTGTAAAGAAGGTTTTTTTTTAGAGTTACATGCAAGAAATGAAACCTTTTCCCGTGCAAAGGTTTTCTGAATAAGGGAAATAAGTTTATCATTAATTAAATTATGTGACAGTTGAAGCTTGATAGTTCTTAATTTTCAATTTATCCAGAATTTCTTAATGGACCTACTTTAAGTAGATGTTTGCCGGTATTTTTTGTACACTTTATCACAGTATCTAATTACATGTGTTTTAATGACAGTCAAACAAGTCGTCAATGAAATAGAAAGTTTACTTGTTGTGCTAGATGTAGAATTAGCAATGAATCTGGTTTTGTAAGTTTTTTTATGTAATTTAGGAATCCAATACATTATAGGAAGTTTTAGTTCTTTTTCATAGATTCGGACTTTAAGACTGGAAATATTAGTAACATGATTGTTAACAATGTCTTTTTCAGAAGCAGTATTTTTTGAATACGCATTAGAACTGTTAAGTTCCTTTTGTAAAACGTTAATGTAATGGATTCGTCATACAATAATGATATTATTAGCCACCTTGTCCACGGGCACCAAAACTAATTTTGAGTGAAAAGCTAGAATTTCCTTTTTCAGATGTCTTAAAGTAAATCTTGGTTTAGGTGGAAGAAGATGTTCATTTCCACGATAGAAATTATTACATGAATCAATAATTTTGAAAATGTTAAGTTTCCAAGTAGCTTGAGCATTACTACCAAGTTTGATGATGATTGAGGCAAAAATGTGACCGCTAGCGTGTTAACAAGGTTTTTCTTTTTTTAGCTCCGGTGACCTAGTGTTTCATCCGAGATGTCCCATGTTCGAACTCATCCGAGCTATCACCTTGACTAGCATCCCATCAAGTTTGATAATGATGAGGCAACAATGTGACCGCTAGTGCTAACAAGGTTTTTTCCTTTTTTAGCTCCGGTGACCTAGTTTTCATCCGAGATGACCCATGTTCGAAATCATTCGAGCTATCAACTAGATAAGCATCCAGACCAAGTTTGATGATGATTGAGACAAAAATGTGACCGCTAGAGTGTTAACAAACATGTCTGGACGGACGACCGACGACGGAAATTAAACGATCCTAAAAGCTCACTCTGAGCTAGCTCAGCAGAGCTAAAAAGTCAAATGAATGTGGTTACATAATAAAGACCGTAATCTCTAAAATAGTCCATAGATTTTACACTGTCAAGTTCTGTGTTTGGTGTAAACAAGTAAGTGTTGCATGTGGTTCTGAGTTACTAAGAATAAATGTCGAAAAAAAATGACAGATGAAAAATGTGTGAAATAGTATAACACTTTACTTAACAGGTTGTAACACAACATGATTCCTACTATCAAATCATGTGTCACATTCCTGTTCATTTTAATAACTATATAACAGTGTAAATACAAGTGTGAAAACATAGCATTGTGTTTATTCAGAATTCTCTCACAGCTCAAAACTTTCATTTCCAAAATATACAGGCATGCTACAAAACTAATACAACATTATTTCACAATAAAACATGAAACTGGTTAAACTGACACTTAAAGTGACATTGTGCCCATCCAAGGGTATACAGTGAGTGAAAGTCAAAACAAGTTTTCATTTTGTCATAATTCCTTTGAATTTAAGAATTTATTTAGCGTAATCAATATATAATGCACGGATCCAAATGAACTTTCTGTAAATTTCCATTAGAATTTATCTGTAAAGATCAGCTTATACAAAGAGTGGGGCAGTCTTTTTATATTTTAGGCAGATTTAATTTTTATCCTAAACATTTTCCAAAATACTAACTGTTGGTCAAACACCATTGTACCCGAGTCATTCTTTTAAAATTTAAAGTCAATTCAGCTAAACTTGACAGTGAAAATATGAGCATAGTGTCACTTAAAAAATAATCTTGATGTAAACTAACATACTTCAACATTGACTTCAATGTAGAAAATAATTTTATTATATAACAGTTAAATATCTTTATTGACTTTTAAATACTTTTCTACAAAAGAATACATTTATAAATTGGGCCAAAGATACTCAAGCATGTGCATTTCCCTAAGTACAAAGATTTTATTTATATTGACCATACACAATGGTCTTACTTATACCATACATCATTAAAGGAACCTATTTCCTCCCCCCCCCCCCCCCACGGATCATTTATATCATAAAGTTACATCCAGCACAACAAGGAACAACACCTCTAGTATAAGACATGAATTATTCAGAAAATTTGTTTCCCATAATGTAAGGTAAAAGTTCCCTTTTATTTCTTAGAGAAAATTAAGGGGGGCAGTCAAGATTATTGAATGCTTAAGCCATTCTTACATAATATTTACCAATGATATACACACAACATTTTCATTTCATACATAATAACATCTATATAGCTCCCATTCTAGCAAAATACTCAAATTTAGACAATTTGTTACACATTTTCCAAATTGAATTGATGGTAACCCCAATTTTTTTTTCAAAATAGCCTAATTACTTACCTTTTGGATGACTGTATTCTTCGAAATGAGATGGATTTTTGCGGTAACATTTTGCTCCATATTGGCATGGTACTTTTTTCTTTATGGAATTTGTATTGTTATTCAAAATCTCTGTAACAGCTTTACGTAACTGCTGTGGTACAGGTGATCTTGAATGCTTCCTCTTAACACTTGATGATGAATATTCAGATTTCTCCTTAACTTCAGATTTCTTTGACAAGGTACAGACATCTTTTGATCCATCATTACTGCTAGAAATAGTCTCCTGTTTAAGTAAGGGTTGACTATAGTCTTTTTTGTGAGGCTTTTGCAAAAAATGGTTCTTTTCTGAATATTCTGACTTTTTTAATGTTTTTGACTTTTCTTTCATGGTATTTAAAGCAAAGTCTTCATCTATTTCAGTTTTCGTAGAAACCTTTGATTTGTTCCTGTGAGTTTTTTCTTTCATTGCATTAAGTATCTTCTTATTTTTTTCATATTCACTATCTGAGTCACTTTCTGTCATGTTTAAAAAATCGTTCATAAACTGTTTTCTCTCTGACTGTACATGTTCTACAGTACTGGATTGTGTACTTTCTCTTTGAAGCTTTTCTTGTGATTTATGGGACACCATCTTATCATAACCATTTGAAATTTTATAATTTTTATAATTTGTATGTTTGTTACCACCCTTTAAAGGGGTGACATGCTGATCTCCCTTTGTCAGAGTCACTGTCGGATATATCATGTGCACTACTATCATGTTTCTTCACAGCTCCAGTATTAGATGTTGTCTCCATTTTTCTAATAAAACTCACTGCAAAAGAAAAAAAATCGGTAAGAATTTTTTTTCATGTCTTAAAAATCATACATTTTTACAGATCTGCCTTTTCCCCTTTATGTGATGGTGGTATAAAATGACTGGACTTGCTTTTTACACAAAAACCCCCCAAAAAACTCAGAAAAACTTACTTTGAACAGATTTAGTTGTTTATGAAATACTTTTTTTTTTGTATTTATTTTGTACTATGCACAAATTCATTTTTATTGTAATAGGAATTGTACTTGTACAGCAGAAAGTGGATTCAAACAGTTTCTTTAAATGTTGAGAAATAAAGCTGTACATAATGCTAAGTTCTGACAAGTAATCACATTAGCCACATATTTTCATTAAATTCTTCTTTGTTGGGTTTAAAGGCACTATGACAGTTTACAGTATGTAGCCTTCTTGTGAATTATTCTATATATATATAACTTGTGTGACTCTGTAATCATTTAAAAATGGTGTTATGTATAACTTCGCATCTTAGTGACTATTTTTTTATATCTTCAAATTCTTCGAAAATGTTGAACAGTTACAAGTACATCCTTATACAAATTCATTTGCCAAATAGCATTTATAATCTTTTAATAAATCCTCAAAATCTATCAACTGGAACGTCCAGTAAATATTTGAAGAAAAGTGTTTAATAAAGAGAACCATGATGGTCGTACATGACACTAACTAAAACATGTGCTGTTAGAGAAGCAGCATGCTCCACTGTTTTGTGCTGAATAGTAAATTGCACTTGGATATAATGATCCATTTTATGATTTGCTATAACCAGTGACCTTGACCTTTGATCTAATGGGTGTGGCAGGTGGGACTCATTAAGGTGCATCCACCTATTAAGTCTAAATATCTTTGTTAGTATTGAAATTCTCCCCCCCCCCACACACAAACAACAACTAACTTAAACTAACTAAAAAGCACCAATAGGCCTGTACACCTTACCTTGATTATCAAACAAATCTGGTGAGTAGCATCTGTTACTCTCATCTTCATCAGGTGGAAGAGTCTCATCAGAATCTGGACCAACTGTTTCATCAGAATCGGACATAATTATACTGAATGAAACATTACAAAATTATTAATAAAACAATGAAAAAAGAGAGATGAATTTGATAATATCCTAATATTTTACATCAAAGGTCCTAAAGACAAATCTAAGATCATAAGGTAATTAACCATCTACATGAGTAATCACACAAGACTCAAGCAATTAATGGTGAAGAAAATGCAAAATATCCTGTCAATTTCTGTCACGTGTACTTATAACATCCTACTATAAACTTACTCACAAGTAAGAACTTGAACATGACTGTCAGAATAGGAACCTGCTGTGATGTGAGATAATAGCTCATTGACTGGCAGTAAGCAATTTTATTCTGGTCTCTTCATGTTAAAAAGCTAAAGGTGTATTAAGCCAAATTTAATCAAGAGCAACAAAGGTGGGGCAAAATACTTCTGAATGTAAATTTGAACAGAAACATAGTATTAATCCACAAAAAGATAAGATGTGTTTTCCTATACCTTAATCTAGCTAAAGCAAGTGACTCCTGGGGCAGGACCAATTTTGATCTGGGGGTCATGATTAACATAACTTTTGTAGAAATCTACACATATGTTACATGCCAAATATCTGACTTCTTCGCTTTGTAGTTTCACACAATAAGACTTAAATGTGTTTTCCTATAATCAAGTCAGTGACCACGGGGTGAGCCAATTTTGACCTCAGGGGCATGATTAATATCAATTCTGCTGATGTTTACAATGTCATATACATTGCACATACTAAATATCTTAGCCCTTGGTATTAGGTTGACTAAGCTTTTGGCATTGTAGTTTCACAACATAAGACTGAATTGTGTTTTCTCATACAAGACTATTTCAACTAAATGATCCAAGTGTGGGGTCAACATTTACCAAAAGGGCATTATTAATACCAGTTTTGCAGAAGCCAACAAGCTAGGTAAGATACATGTCAAATACACTCTAGACTAGCATTGCAGTTGCACCAAAATAAGTGTAATCCTACATAAAATTTATTAACTGAGTGACCCCCTGGGGTGGGGCAATATCAAACCAAGGGGTCTATCTATTACAACACAACAAAATCCCGTAACATCTAATAGCCTGGGGTTCTATGATATCGCGGTTCTTAACATTTATTGGAAAATATTCAAATATTAATATCATACATGAATGAGATTTTCCTTCTATTTAATCAGTGAACCTTTTCCAAAACTGTTTGTCAAAAAATTATTTCTAAAGATCCACTTAAAATGACATTTTTTAAACTATTTCCAAAGTCTGCCATTTTGGGTAATTTTAGAAGAGGTTACTATGTAAATGCAATTTAATCCATCAAAATGCACGGTTATCCAAATCACAAAATGAAAAACAGTCACTCCAACACTATACCTCTTACATAACACCACATTAGAAACAGTTCCATCTGCAAAATACCTTGGCATTACAATATCAAATGATCTAACATGGAACAAACACATAAACAACATCACAACAAAGGCGAATCAAACACGTATTCTACGTCAAAACATCAAAGTTCACTCAGAATGGTTAAAGTCAACCGCATACAAGACACTTGTCAGGCCCCAGCTTGAGTACAGCTCCACGGTCTGGTCATCATACACAGGAACTCTCATTGACCAGATAGAGTGATCAGAGAAGGGCTGCTAGGTGCGGGTTGGTACAATGACATGATTTAGATTTGCGTTTTTACACATAGAAAATCGAGTGTTGACAGGTTGCACGGTTGATGTTCACCTAGTCAAGTGATATCATTTTGCTGCAAATTGATACATAACTTAATATGATTTACGTAAAAATGACTTTTGCAATTTTGACTTATACTGGACTAGTGGCATTCTGCCGATTTGGCGAGTTCAACCCCTTGTCTATATATTACATATAAACTATATATTTTTTTCTAGAATTACTTTTTTACACTATCCCAACACTGTGCCGGGTCCCTATGTAGGAACCGAGTGGCGAGTATATTTTTATGAAAACATATGCCACAACTGGAATAGCGTTACTGGACAGTCAACACAACAATATCCTTAAGCAAAGTAATGAAATACATGTAAACTGTTAGATGAATTATTTCAAATAAAAAGGATAACACTATAATATCTGTTATTTAGATTTAAAAAAAGAATCAAATTCACTCCATACAAACGAATAGTGCTGAAACGGCGAATTTTTGTAAAAAGGGAAACAACTGCGTAATGATAAAACTATCCAAACACGAAAGAAAATAACCCGGTAACCGTTATATTCCGTGTTATGTACAGCATCATTTTAAAAAATTTATAACGATTTCGCCCTGTTTTTCATGTATTTAATCCGTCACATCTAAGGCTAAATTCTGGACAGTATACCTGGTACAGGAATTTGATGGCTATAATTAACTTTCAACAACAATACTGTAACGTTTTAAGGCACACAAACCCTATCGGTAAAAATTTAGCTTAAATTACCAACATGGCAAGAGTGGTTTATGTTTTTATATACGGGAAACATTTTTTTTATATTATTTAACATTTTTAGTTTTTGCATATTCTCATTATTATTAGTATTATGACGTTTTACCAACGTTTTAACATTACTTTCCCCTCCGAGAAGTCTCGTTTGGGAAATTGTTGGGTACAGCACGGACTTTAATTGACATTTTGCTATTTCGTTTCGAGTAAAATTTTGACAGAATTAAGTAACCGAAGAAAGAAAGAGATCAATACATGCATTCCCAAACTTAACTTTAGCCGTTCAATTTATCTTTTGTATCCTGTAAACTTTTTTTAATTTGATAGTCAACTTCCAGTATTTGCAGAGTAAATACAAAGGTAATGTAACGATTCGCCACACTAACGATTCGCCACATAACGATTCGACACAGAGTAATAACGATTCGCCACAGTTAAATAACGATTCGCCACGTGTTCAAATACAAATTTTTTTTCACATCTGTTTTCAAACTGTTGATGGAAAACTTTTTTCCATTTTATATTTCATTTGTTAATTACATAAATTAATTACACTAAATACACATTTTATTGAATAAAAACACACGAAAACCAAATATTTTATCAACACAAAATTACATAACACATTTTATAACTTCGTTATTTATATAAACTGGAAAAAATATACGTGTACGTATATTTAGTTTGTCTTGTAAATTTGTCTTTGAATTTCTGAATATATTTAAAATGCCATTATGTTTGTAATGTTTTGTACACGGACAATCTTTAAATATGACATTTTTTAAATGGATAAGTCATGCCTTCTACTACCTTTAAGGTCTTTTTCTAGTAGATGTATTCATTGCCTACTTAAGTTATAGCCATACCTACAATTAGAAGAACTTCTTACGAATACAAACAGAACGTGTAAAGCACATTACAACATAAATATTACTATTGCGAACTTTTGGAAGGAATTTGAATTTGACCATCTTTTGAATTTCATGAAAAAAAATCTTGAAATATTTTTCCAGCATTCTAAAGGAATCAATTTGAAGGTATTAAATTGTAATGGCTAAAGTTATAAAAATAGATAAAAAAAATGTCTACAAATTTGGTTATGTGGTTATTTTATCTTTATTTATTTATATTATTGTTTTAATGTCATTTAATAATGTACTGGAAATAAAATTTCAAATGTCATAGATGCATATGGTCTGCGAAATAAATGTGGTCTCAAAGACTAGTACTAAACAATGGATAATTAGCCGAGAACATTTTTGGCAGCCTTTCTGTTTTATGTGACATAAATCAATTCAACTTAAA